TTGTGGCTGAACTAATCTTTGATGAAGAAAAAATTTAGGTCCTCCAGGAAAATCAATAGATGAAGTTGTTGGTTTGATCATCGAACCGGTGCTTATCTTGAAGATGCTCCCTTGGTTTGTTTTAGGCTGAGCCACGGCAATTTCAGCAGGGTTATTTGGTTGAATTGATTCGATTTCAGCTAGTTTATGTGATCGAACCGAGCGTTTATATCATCATTGTTTCATTGACAGAATGACCCTTTCGTCTAGGGTTTCTCAAAAGTGTTTATGTCAAATGATTTCAAAGCCTCATTGTTAATGCATAATGGTTGTGTTTTGATAGGGCCAATACCCATAGGTCTTAGGATTTGAAGCATAACGCTTGGGGTGAAGAAGGTTGTGTCATTAACGCAAAATTCATCTTAGCTTACTTAAAATACTCGAAAATGAGTTTTCTTCAACAAGAGGTGATTTGAATGCAGAACAAGATACTTCTTACTTTTAAGTTTCGTATTGAATTTTGAAAGTAGTGGCCATGTACGATTCTTGAGATGTAAATTAAAAAATTTAATTTTCTTTTTTTATTTCTGTTATTAGCAACTTCGTAATTCTACTTATAATGCCAAATTATACGACGGAAGCAGAAAATAGAACCTAATACAACCTATGGATCTCAACTCTTATCTCCTTAAAGAAAAATGGAAACTTTATTCATAATCTGAATTTAAGTATTAAGTAAAATTCCAAGTCAAATTGGAAATCCTAATTCAAATAGGAATCCTAATACATTAGAAATCAAGAACAATAAAATGAGAATTAAAACTCTAAATAAACAAGAAAACTTGGGAATACTTATCTAATCTTTGCCTAGGGCCACCCCCATAGGACTTAGCACAACCCACTCTGGATGATCAGACCAACGATGCATTGATGCTTGCCCCTACTTGAGCCCTCCAAATCTGCATAGCTCACAAAATAGGGGCTGAGAGCTTTAATAAGCTAGGTTTTGTTTTTGTTTTCAACCCTTTAAACTTGGGGCATGCCACAATATGGCACCACCCCCTGAAACCAAACTAGGCTGGGCGTGCCCTCTCACAAACGAGAGGGAAGGAGAGAGAGAGAGAGAGAGAGAGAGAGAGAGAGAGAGAGAGAGAGAGAGAGTGTACGTCGACGACGAACACAGTAGAGTAGGTAGGTAAGGTAACGGTACGTACCGTTACTAACTACTAACCGTACCTACGTCTCGTACGGTA